CACGCACGCACACAGGTACGCTGACACACGCACGCACACAGATACCCCTATACACGCACCCATACGCACGCACACAGGTACGCTGACACACGCACGCACACAGATACCCCTATACACGCACCCATACGCACGCACACAGGTACGCTGACATACGCACGCACACAGGTACCCCTATACACGCCCACACGCACGTACACCGATACGCTGACACACGCACGCACACAGATACCCCTATATACACACGTCCACACGCACGTACACCGGCACGCCTACACACGCACGCGCACAGATACCCCTATACACGCGCCCACGCACACGCACACAGATACCCCTACACACACGTCCACACGCACGTACACCGGCACGCCTACACACGCGCCCACACGCACGGACAGAGGTACGCATGCACGCACGCACAATGAAGCCAATCTTCGCTTTATACACTAGCCGATCAATGCAATGACGTACGAGTCCGTGTAATGAGTCGTCAGCGGAAAGCATTGTTCTAACAAACTTCCACACTAGCTCCCGCCTGTAGCTATTACACTACCTACTCAACCAATCAGCGTTGGGATAGATGAAACAATTCGATGTTTGGCGGATGTGTAGAAACCTTTTGTTTTTTTAACTCTTAGACGGAAAAGGTTGTGCGAGATTTCAAGTTATTATAGGAAATTATCGACTTCTTGTCCTATCAGCTGGGGTGGTTGGTTCATTCTGTGTGCATTCATGTGGCGGCCTGAACGTGCATACTTACCGCGCAACCTACTTGTCAATGTAAAAATGCTTACCGTTGCGTTTTTCGCAAATAATTGTTTTTTTAAGAAAAAGATATCCAAAAATATTTGAGTTAACAAAATATATGTTGTGCAGTACAATTCAGCGTAGGCGGGTGACATTGTGATTTCTCAAACTAACTCCGGCTGATAAATAGGAATTTTTAAGCATAGTTTGATAGCCAATAGTAAATCATTGTCCACTGTAATTAATACCCACTACAGGTTAAAGAACAGCGGCGCTCTTCACCGGACCTTCAACGTGCAACCGTTGTACTTAAAACACGAGAACTCTGGAGCTGCGATAGACTACATGGTGAGTGACGTCACCATCGTGACGTGTCGCCCTTGTGGACGCAGCTGCTGCTTGCGGCCAGCGCAGCACCTACGACGGCGCGCCGTCCTGGCTTCACTTAAGCAAACAACTTACACAGTATAGCCGTCTAGCAGAGTGTGTCTAGTATTGGAGAGAGAATGTCCGGTCTGTCTGTTCTGGGCTTAAGATGCTATACGTAAAATAAAAAGTGAAAAAATAAAAAAGAGTTAATTATTGCGAGTTGCGGCATGGTCGTTGCGGCTGGGTATCTATTATTGCCGTCGTGTCTACGCGATGCTTCGAAAAACTCGAAACCTTATTCAAGCACAGAATCTTAAAACTTTTATTCGAGTGGATACATAACTAGTTAATTTCTCCTCGTGTAGACGCGCTTTATACGCATGCTTTGTCCGAATTAGAGAACCTGGTCGCCAAAAAAACGAAGGAAACTTGTCGTGCGTACATGTTGCGTTCATTCAATAGCTTGCTTAGCGTTCACAGAAGTATAGTATAGAACATAATGCTCCACAGCGCTCTAATACAACACAACTTGTTCGTTGAAGTTTTGATCTAATCCTTAGAATAATGTTATTACCATTTTTTCCATATTAAAAAACTCGCAGCGTGTGAGAAAGGATCTCGATACGAATATAGATGAAACGCAGAGGACGGTTAATGATATTTTAAATTAACATTTCCCCTCGTCGCAGCTTCATTCATGTATGCGGTAGGATTCAAAATATTCTAAATGATAATTCGTAGTTACGCACCCTGCACACGACGGGGAGATTATTGCCAATGTTATTAAAGAGGGGGTGTCTTTTCTGATTCTCTGCATTAATAATGGGGAGCGTGATTCGCAACTGCCGAGGTAATGAGGCTTCTTTTATGCAGAACAATGATGCGCTCAAAGGATATCAATTAATTCGTGTGACATGCATTGTGAATACATTTATTTCATACGTCCCCAACACAACACAGATTTCGTGTTGTTTGTAAATGAGTAATAATAATTCGATTGTTATAATTAATTATATTAATGTTATATATATTAACTCTTTCTCAGCATTGGCAGATACCTTTAAGTAAGCGATTCAGAGCTCTCAAGCTCTGGTTTGTCATCCGCTCCTTCGGTATCACTGGTCTACAGAAACACGTCAGAGAGGTAAGTAAAGCTATGTGAAGTTCTGGCTGCATACACGCGCAAGACGAGGGTTCGTCTTACGCGCTCGGTTTCTCTAGATCTGACCTTGTCCTAAACGCTAACATTATAATATGTAATATCAAGAGTCTATTATAGAATATTTTCTATTATGGATTCTTGATAATATGTAATAATAACATATAAGGGTGAAGAATTTAGCTGCAAAACTGTAACTCTGCGACACGTTTATACGAATGGGACGTTACGTTGCCATATATATACATATATGCGCTGCGCAGGCAACTTATTTACACAACTTTAATATTTCACGTTTGCAATTTTACAGGCGCTATTTCTAGTAAAACATTTATAGGTTATTTCGGGTGTTCTAGTATGTACACACACATATTATATTTATTCTCCTGAGCGTCGTGCTTTGTTGGTCGTTTTACATAAAATGACTTACCTAAAAGTAATGTATACAGCCTAGTTAAGATAATTTTTATTTCTACACCGAGCCGAAAGAAGCGGTTGCCGTCTACGAGATATAGATATAATAGTCTAAGATATTTACATATAAAACATTAATATTGATGACAATATTTCTCATCGGAAACCTTCTCGCGGTCTCGCCGTATTCGTCATCGCATTATGAATACCTGTCTGCAATGCCTTACGCGATTTAATCTCTGCGCGAAAAAAAAACACTCACCACACTCATTAGACTTCCAAATCGATTTCGCGAAAACTCGGTCTACACGTGGAACGAATCGAGTAGCAATCCGAATGTGTTTAACTGATCGCGGCGCACGCGTCGCGTATTGGCGATGAAACTGCATGGCCGCGACGTGGCCTTTTCTCACGAGCCGGCAATTGCCGTGTAAATGTTGTCAGCGCGTGTGTGTCGCAACGCGGCGACAACACGCACGCACGCACGCACGCACGCACGAGTAGCGTGCTCGCATGTAGCGTGCGCGCGTGTTGACAGACGCCATAAATTATGCACGCGGTCTAGGCGCACGCACGGCGTTACAGGGCTAACTATTCATGACCGGCAACTCACTTCAAACCCGAACAAACATCGATGAGACGTTTCTGTCGTCCACAAACGGGTGACACCTGCGTAAATACGATATACTTCGCAATCAGTAGTGTAAATGCTTCCCGTTATATCTCTACGGAGAGTGGTAACCTCTAAAACACGAATCTACAGCAATGCGGGTGTACAGGTGATGCATCCAGTTAACTCAAACGATGACATCTCTGTTTTTTTTTACCAAAATCCTGTCGTTAACTATATTTGATTAAATAGCAATGGCATTATTAAACTTTGAATGGGTTTACTACTTGTCTATCAATAGCTACTTAATATCTAATAGCTTATTATCTATCAATATACGAATATTAAGATAAAGAAGTAATTCATTATACTTGACCTAGTGGTTATAACGTTCGTTATTCAATACGATTTATTAATTTGTAGAGCGTACTTTATTAAACATGAGAATTAACTTTCAATGTCAATGTTTCAACACGTTCAACTTGTACATTTACAGGGTGTACGCCTTGCCGGGATGTTTGAAGGACTCGTGAAGGCTGATCCATACTTTGAGGTTCCTGCAAAGCGCATACTCGGACTGGTAGTCTTTAGATTGAAGGTGAGTGAAGCACAAATAACCTAACCTTAACCCTAGCCCTCAATTCACCCTAACACCGAAAAAACCTGGAACAGCCACGGCCTCAACCCTACTCTAACACTGAAAATACATCCTTACACACCCATGAACCCCCACCGATGCCCTTAGCACCGTATACACTGTGCCTGTATGAAAATCGATCCATATCGTGACCAGGCGTTTGATTGATTATTGATCACGTCGCATATATGAGAAGGTAACACAGTATAGGGTCAGATATATATTCCTTACACGCAACCCGTCAAAGGCGACAAACGAAATATATTCGTCACTGGTTGTAGTGTACGTGACTAGCTATATACTATATATACATAGATAAATGTACATAGATAAATGTATATAATATATAAATATATATATATATATATATATATACGTAACTGTTTACCGTGTATATACAGAAGTTGTTCTTGTATTTAGGGGGAGAATCATCTTACTGAAGCCTTGCTGAAGAGGCTGAACACTGGCGGGAAGGTGCACATGGTCCCGGCATCTCTCAGGGCAAGTCGAATCAAACATCGTTTTATTCGTCACTATATTTGAATAGAGGTCACGTGTGGAATGTACCGTTAAACCTCCACGGGGCCTCAACAGCTATAGCCTTCACTCACCAAACATTTAAATTAAAAAATACGTAAGGAGGAAAATTTACGAAAGTAACGAACGTAAACTTTCAAGCAAACCTCAACGTTTGCTCTGCAGTTTCAAACGGTTCAACTCCCACAAGCTTACCTAACTCACACACGCTCACCTAACTCACACACGCTTACCTAACTCACACACGCTTACCTCGCTCGCCTACGCTTGCCTAACTCTCGCCTACACTTACCTAACTCGCCTACGCTTACCTAACTCGCCTGCACTCACCTCGCTCACCTACGCTTGCCTAACTCTCGCCTACACTTACCTCGCTCACCTACGCTTGCCTAACTCTCGCCTATGCTTGCCTAACTCGCCTACGCTTACCTAACTCACCTACGCTTACCTAACTCTTGCCTACACTTACCTAACTCACCTATGCTTACCTAACTCGCCTACACTCACCTACTCGCCTACGCTTACCTAACTTGCTTATGCTTGCCTAACTCGCCTATGCTTACCTAACTCGCCTACGCTTACCTAACTCGCCTGCGCTTGCCTAATTCGCCTACGCTTACCTAACTCGCCTACGCTTACCTAATTTGCCTACGCTTACCTAACTCGCTAACATTGAACCCCGTTTCACTGTTTTACAGGGGCAATACGTCATCCGTTTCACCGTCACCTCACGCTTCACAACGGACGCCGACATTGCCGGCGACTGGAACATCATCCGCAGCGTAGCATACGAGATCCTGCAAGAACAGGAGCGGCTGGACGAGACCAAACTACAGCTTCCCGCAGCCGCCGCCGCCGCCGCAGCCACCCTCCGCCCCGCCAAACCGCAGTCGGACGACGAGCAACGCAAGCGGGAGTTCGGTCTGAGTCTGCTGCTTAGCAACAGCCCCCTCGTGCCGAAATTCGTCAACGGCTCCTTCGCCGCCATCTTCGAGAATCGTGACGTCATCTACGAGTTCGTCACGCAGCTGAGCGACTCGACGTTCGGCCGCCGGTCGCCTAGCAACCGCAGCCGGCTGCGCTCGAGCAAGCAGTACTCGCTCGACTCGCGCATCGACTATCTCTACGACTTCCACAACCGCCTGAAGATGGCGCACCCTACCGGAGAGCTGCAGGAGATCGACGAGGCAGACGATCAAAATGGCGGCGGCGGCGGCGGCGGCGGCGACATCTCGGGGGTAATGTCTTCTCCGCGTCGCCCGCGGTCGCTGTCTCTCGGGCAGGAGCCGGCGGACCTCAACCTACACCTCACAAAGGAGGAGGGGAACTCCGCGGAGGAGGGGAACTCCGCGGAGGAGGCAGCAAAGCAACGGATCCCCGCTGTCGTCGTCAACAACAACGACATCTATCCGAGGATTACGAAGCCGCTCTCTAACAATACGGTCGTACGATGCAAGCACTGTGGCAACGTCGTGGACTAGTGTTGATTCCACGATCTCGGTCCAAGCCTAGTTTAGCACCCTGGATTAGGTTTAGCACATGCAAAAAACACATTTGCGCGGTCCCAAATAGATACAATAACGTAACCCTACAATGTAACCCTACTCCTGTTGGGTTACATTATTGTATCTAGGTCCCAAACTATCCTTGGTCCACGCGATCTCTCCAGGAAAATTTCGTAGGTAGTATATGGTGTTGCGTTTTTCGATGCATTGCGCGTAAAAGCGATCTGTGCAGTAAAAACATACGGATAGCGCGGTTCCGTTATTGCAGACACGGAGTTACAGTGGCCCGGCTCAATATTTACCCACACACTGTAGGGCATCTGAGCAGTGAACATCAAATACATGAATACGGAGGTTGGAAATTGCTTTCAAAAACCACCGAAAGATTGAAATGCTTTGTGAACCTTGCTTACAATTGACATAAACAGGTAAAAAACGTGAGCGATTTTACATCCCCTGAAAAAACAACGCGATAAGTGATATATATCTTCAACTCCAAAAGATAATCGAAAGGTGATTATTCATATTACTCATTATGCAACTTCGATAATATACCTTTAGTATGTTAGAATATGCATTAGGTTTACCTTTTCAATACTTGAGAAGGCACCTAGTATAGCAGGGTTCTCCAAGCTTTTAAATGATAGCATGGGGGGTGGTACTCAGAGCTAGGGGGTCCGGGGGCATGCCCAACCGCAAAACTTTTGAATTGTAGAAGCTCTGAGATGCAATCTGGGACACTCTGTGTGTAAATTTGAAGCACTGCATGTGGGGTGAAAATGTTTGTTTTGCATGGGCAAAACCATCGAAAAATTCAAAATAATTAATGGAATAAAAATACCAAAATGTAGGGGTGAACATGCTGGTTTGCTGGTTCCAAATCGAGTTCACCTCATAAATAAATATAAAAAAATTTGTCACCATTGCCAATGGCAGGAGTGGTCGGTAAGTGTACCAGTCTACTCTACCTCGTGTTAGACTGGGTTACCTGCCCTGTAATAATGCCGTTGGAAATTAATTCACGATTTAATTCACGATTAAGATTTCTTGATGAGCTAGAAAACACTCGGATTTGAAGTATGAAAATAAACATTATTGTGCCAGCTAGCCTACACCAGTTGGTTGGGATTGATTGTCAGTTCAGATGCAAAATATTTAAAGCAAAAGGTTCTACACCATAGATTAATTTTGGTATAGGGGATATATGTATAGGGGGTAATATGGGATAGGGATAGGGTGACTGTTTGTTCCCGTAGCATCGAGACCAACGTGTTTTAATTCATTGTTTGAACTTATCGTGTATACACCAGCATGGCGGCTATGATATTTAGGAATTTTGCCCGGGAAATGCTATCCCACGGGCGTGGAGGGACAGTACCGCAACGTGACAGCACTAGTGTTAGGATTAGGGTTAGGATTAGGGTTAGAGTTAGGGTTAGGGTTTTTGTATCATGCTATCTGTCCCCACACCATAGATTAATTTTTGTGGATGACACCCCTATATATAGATATCCAATATATAGATATTTAGTGTTAGGGTTAGTGTTACTGTTAAGTTTTGAATATACGTCAACTGTATCACGTGACCGTCCCTCCACGCCCGGGGGATAGCACCCATTTTGCACAGGGAAGAGATAGTGATTCGCTAGGGGACGGCTCTGATTGGCTGATTTTGTCTTTTATTTATTTTATTTTTTATTATTTTTGGCTAATTTTGTTTTATTTTAGAATTAGAGATAGGGTTAGGATTAGGGTTAGGGTTCAGATTAGGGTTAGGGTTAGGGTTAACTGATAAGTTAGTTCTATATCCACAACTTATTTCTATATTCACTATCTCTCCCCTGAGACCTACTAGATATTTAGCGTGGCGGGTGCATTTTAGGATGGCGGGGCTCGACGATAGCCTGGCGGGGGCGCCAGGCTATAAGTGCCCTTGGAGAACCCTGTATAGGTACGATAGTTATGTCTAACGTCTGTGTTCGGGCAGTTAGTAGGGCCTATTTCGCTTAGCTAGCAAGTTACTCAACACGTTTAGATTCGTGTTAAGTAATAGTGCTTAAATGACAACATGTGAGTTATCATGTCATCTTATGACACACACTAGCTCTCGTGTTCAAACGAGATTCAATTACCTGAAACTCGATATTTTATCATTGATGTGCATTACCTTTGTGTTTAGTAACTGTGATATTACCTAGGTAAATGCTTAAGCAGCATAGAGGTAGCATAGAACACCATAGTGAGCCAGATATTATGTAGTATCGCAGCAGCAAATACACATATGCAAGTGTAAAATAGCAATACCGTAGTTTCATAGAATATGTGTAATGACGAATACTTGATGATGTGGTAGGAAATATTATATTGTGCTGTACATGCAGTACAGCTTTTGTCATAGACTAGCAATAAAAATGGCTTTTTGTTGTGAAATAATGGCTTCATAGTTTTTTCATATCTTACTAAATAGAACTGATTTGATTAGATTTATCAACTGCTTTTCATCTTGTCTTAATTATGTCATAGTACAGTATAACTGATTCTCCCCTACTTAAAAATTTTATGATTTGGTTCATAGCAAACACGTAATTAAAATATTTAACACGTAAAATTAGCACCGACAGACCACAGGATTCTCGGTTATATATGCAATAGATAGGTGTAATGTTATATATAGACCACACTTACACAAACGAATCCAACATAGTTATATTTTTTTAATTGTATTTACAATTGTTATATTTACAAAAGATCGCCACATAAAATTCCTCGAGACTATAATAACACGCTAATAATTACAATTTTGATTGTTTTAGTTATGATAAATATGATTAAAATTCCCATTTTTCCTAATCTTCTCTAATACAAATGTTATTTATTAATCGCATAAACTCATATGTCAGTACAGCAATAACTTGCAACATCGACATAACATAAAAAATTACTTTCAAAACTAATACAATATTTTTAAATTGAGCAAGTACGTGTAATATAATAAATAGCCTAAATGCTTTATATTATTTAAACTCCATAAAAGTTGTGGTCGCTTAACAGAGATCACATGCAGTGCAGAAATACTGATAAGTATATATCATTCTGAACAAAAGGCCTTTCTCAATATGATGCAACATTTTATATTATAAATTACTGAACCTTTGCTGGTCATTCAAACACTATAGAAATTCCTATTTCCTTCTCAAATCGTACATCTCTTTTCCTGTAATACAGTGTGGACCTCGTACATACCTAGTTCACAGCCGTCTAATCTATTCTTGGTGCTCCAGACCTACTCCCGATCAAGATGTCTTCGTGCTTTTACCCATTACTTGCATTTCTACAACCATTCCTCTCTTTAGCACCTCCTTCGCACTGCTTGGTCTCTCGATAACCTATCATATAGGTATACTTAGAACTTCACAATCAAGGATACAACTAAACAAAGACAAACAAATCGAGCAACGACTTACCGTATCTCATGTCAAATATGAAATCATTGCTTTAACAATTTCCGTTATATCATTGTCTATTAATTATTTTTATTCTTTACTATTATATTATTATTTACTAGACCACAATCAACTGTTTCAATCAACACTAACATTTCGAGTAGTTTGAATTAGGCTTTTGTAAGCACTGGCAGAATAAATAGCTCACCTGAAAGCAATCGTGTACAGATTTGCGGCAGTATGACAGGAACACAGCTTCCGACTTACAGAGGATGTCATTCACATCAATATTCATGGATAACCTGCCAAAAATCGACATCACTGTAAGATAACTGAGTGGCTTCATACAGAATGACATGATGGAATCTATTAACCTGCTTAGCATTATGCATAAGTTCATTTACAGGAGGTATTAAAAACTCTACAAACATGGTAGGGATATGGAAAGTTCATATGTCAACATGATTTAACCACAACAAAGAAACGCAAGCACAGTAGGATTTTACAAATGAGCAAATATTGTTACAGACCGTCACGAATCAGTCACAACTTTACCAGTCGTGTGCAAACACACACATCTGTGATATAAATATAGTTTTAAAAGCTCAATCGGTACCACTGCAACGTGGTCACAGACCAGTGGCGCCATCTTTGGAACCGAATTGAACCCATTTTCCCTAACGACGTGTTTACCTCGCTATGCATTGAAAGACGGTTGCGGCATCTGTGCAGCGGAACATCTTATCTCTGTGGTCCATCATAATCGATACAGCCACGAACAGGTCAAACGTGTACTCCTGATCCGACACATCGTCCACAGACCTGAGGTGCCCACCTACGATAAGCAATGCTCGGTTATTCCTACAAATGAGGGCAAGCCATTCACGGAAAAAGACCGACTTCAAGAATTTATTGGTTATTAACATTGCAATTACTGCAAGTCGTCTATCGAAAAGATTGACTGTTACTATGCCTTCTTTACTCTAGCACAAGAGTACAACATCTGAAAGTGAGGGACAAATCAAACTGGCATTACATTGTAAAACTTGAACATGTGAATTATTAAAACTTTACAAAATACCATAGGTTAGGGTTGAAATTCTATCTACTGGCATACTAATATCTATTAGTTTGGGGGGGAGCATGAATCATGAAATGGTTTTGGATAAAATTATGATTCAACTGAAAAAGATGGGTAAGGTTTGGTTTTAACATCATAGAAGGGAAATGGACCAGTATGATGCAATCTACCCTGAAATTATAGCTAGCAGTATGTGTGCGTGGAAGAGAACAGACCTTCCTGCTCGAAATTCTTTCTTCGCTGGAGTCTCTTCTGTGTCTCAGCTTCTAGAGAGTGCAACTCCAAATAATGACTACTCAAGATCTCAAACAACTTTACGCCATCTTCAAAGCCAAACTCACGCTTGAAGCCAAGTATCAACCACCTGCAAAAAGGTGTATTTTTCATGAATAGTGATATCAATATATAATTTACAACTTCTCCCGTTTGTGTGGAATTGATTTGTAAGCTCTGTAGCATGAAATTCTAAAAGAAAATAGTTCTAAATAATCAATAGGTTCTAACTCTGTCTTTTCTCACTTAAAAGTCTTAATTTTGTTATTGTCAAAACAGATTTAACTTTATTGATGAGAGAGAAAGACATTCCGACAGGAAGGTACAAAAAGTATAGGTATTGGAAGCTCTGAGCGTACCTGTGACAGAATGTAAGATCATCAACCCCACATATGCCCAGGTAGTTGTAGAGGTCTGGATCTAATTTCTCCAACAGCTGTCTAAGCAAAGCTGCAAACAATGCACAGCTATTAAACACATTACTGGGAAAGTGATTTCTACATTTTTCATACCATACGCTACCTAGTGTTTTGCAAGTGAATACACTAATATCAACCAAAACATAAAATTTATTGTTTCCTAACGTGTTATTACCATAGTAAGAATTAAAATGTGTAACACACTCATACATCACAGCAGTAGACATACTCACAGAGCTTGCGGACCATTCCCTCTGCAATAAAGTCCAGCTGGATCTCTTCTATATACCAGGTGAAACACCAAAATGCCTCCACCTTAAAACACAACAAAAATGCAAGTTAAACATACGAGAAAACAACCTTCTGAAAAAAGATAACATTTGTAAAAATGTCATACTTCATTCATGTGGTACGGTGTACCATGTGGTAAGGAGTACATTGTCATGAATCGCAAACACAGGATTGCACACAAGTGACATATCATGTCATTGCGTGAAATTTTCAGAAAATAAAGTAATGCAAACTATTTTTATTTTCTCATCTTTTGAAATAATACTTAATATAAAATTCTAATTATATTTATTCATAATATAACGTTTCAATTTTGTTCCTATATTAATAAAAAAGGCCAGTATTTCTACCTACCTCAGAGTCAAGTACAATCATCATACGACTCAGAATGTCATTCATTCCCTGTGCATAGCCAACTTTAGGATGGAATGCTGCAAATGTCACTAGTATGTCTCTGAGTACGAACATCATTGGGTTATTTTCACCCCTGAAAAGCCACAGTATTATTAGTTTCATCGACGTATACAAATACTCAGTAGCATTTCTGTTCGAAATATCACCGGATATATTAATAAGACAAATCCCAACAATAAACCATTTTCACAACTAGTAATTTCACATCAGCAATTTGTCAAATATTGAACCCGAAATACTTTTTAACAATAAATTTATGTAATGCATAATGCAGCTTCCCTTGGTGCAAACTCTCTGTGCCAAATAGAAAACATTTTTAAGATTCAAGCTTGTTGTTTATAGATGCATGGCATGAGGTAAAACTGACTTGAAGTAATCCAATTCCTTATCAGTTCTTGGTACATCTTTGTCTATCACTCTTATGGACCCCTTTAAATCATTTAGATCATACTCTTGCCTGCCAGCATAAACCTAAAACGAGCCAATACAAAAACAAAATCAATGCATTATTATTGTGCAATATCTGCAAATAGGAAATAAAGCAATGAGTAAAAGTAACTACACTAACTTATGGAAAGTTATATAATGCCAATTTCTACATTAAAGCTAGGCCTCTAAAGTTCTCAACGATGAATATTTTAAATGGATATTTTACTAATGAACTTTCTGCATCTCCCACATGTTATTTTTCATAATTTCACTATCATAATAAATATAAATATGGAATTAAATCAAAAAAGCTACCTCGGCCTGGATTTTCATGAACTCCAGCTGCTGTTTCCCCTCTGACGTCTGAGCGAGAGCGGAAACCGGTGATACTCGCTGTACCACGTCATTGCTACCTCCACCTTCACTTTCAGACCACCTGAACACGACGTATGAGCAGTGAGCAACTGAGCATATGAATAGTAACAGCGAGCACATTCTCTACATATCTTTAACTTTGATCGTTTTGTATGTTGAATTGTATTATTTGTATTATTGAATTGTATCATTTGAACTCTATCAAACTTTCATTTATTAATCTTGTTTTTGCTGAAGAGTCAGCTCACCTAGCGTGAATTAAAGACTCTGCTTCGGGATCGCCACTTTGCGCAAGTATAGATTTCCAACGCTGCTTCAGTGCCTCGTACTTAAGGTAGCTCTCTGCAAGCAGCAACTGCCTTTCCCTACAGAAGAATAATTACATAAAAGCCTAGCTGCATTTGTGCAACATAACTTCTAAATATTTGGAGCGTTCATGCAAACTATTATTATTATATGTATATGATCATGTATAGACATGTTTTCCAAAATAAGCAAAAGTTCACTTGATCAAAATACCTTTTAGTAGATGTCAATGGATACAGTCCATACAGGAACCTCCAGACATCTGGGCGCACCTCTGGATCAACTCCACCTACGTTTGATATGTATTTATGTTCAGTAAAATGTTGGAGCAAGTTTATGGATAAATTTAATAATACCATAACTCTAATTCAAATTATTCCTTATCAGAAGCCCCATGTATGCCCTGTTAAACATTGGTGTGCAGGGAACTGATCTAAACTGATAATGCACATACTATAGTATACAATGCCAATCCGTTTCTTTCACTGAAAGTTTCAAACTCAAGTTTTAAGTACCTTAGCCACACGCGCACACACCACACATCATGTTTGCACATGATGATGACAGTGACTGTGATGTAACGTACCGGCGACGGCGTACGAGCTAACATTAGTCAAATCCACAATAATCAATAATCAAGGAATGATGGAAAAACCCCAACCCTAACACACTTCGTGATACCTAAGGTTATACTTTATGGGTTAGGGTTTTTGCATCATTCCTTGATATATGGAAAGTCTGTGCATCAGTTGATGATACACAGAAATCTGTGCAACACTTCGTGATACCTAAGCCTAGGCTAAGGTGCCTAAAGTTAAACTAGGCTAAAGTGGATTTGCGCCAGTTACCTTTAAATATTGTTTTTCTCAACAGATGTTCATCAACAAGCCGACCGTCTGTATCGAAAAAATTGTTGAAATCTTTTCGTGTGAGAGGTTGTGACCTGCTGTTGCTTGAAATCTCTTCAGAGATTAGGCGTCCGATGCGCGACTGGTTGCTAAACCCGGATGCGTCAGTGAAATCGACATACTCAAAGCTATTGTCATAACTGCAACGTCTGTAAAAAAAAAAGACACGACAGGAATGTTAAACTAGTGCATGATATATTCGTTCAAGTTATTGCATGATCGTGCAGATTTAGTATTTGATGCTTATTTACGATAATAATTCATTATTTGTGAATAAGTTTGTTCAACCTTGTCAATCCATCCGCCATGATGTAAATATTTCTCTCACCACCAATCAGTGAATCACAATCACATGGCACATTGCACTAGCGAAAACACGGTTTTGTGTCAATAGTTGCCATTTTAGAATCAATAATAGGTTGATTCAATACAAAATAATATTTTATTATTATTATTTTATATTACAATGACATATGATATTGGATATATATGATGGATTGCAGTATAATTGCAAATATGTCCACGTGGTGGCGTTGCTGTTGTTGACAAATATGTCAACTTCCACTACAACTACAAGCAGACAAGCGTTAACTAAAACAGTGAGTATATATTTTATGTTAAGTTACATTAGAACTCCCATGCATACATCTCTGTGTTCACTGTGGCATGTATTGATATAATTCACTGTATGTGCAGCGATCCGTCATCAGAAATGGAAGTTTTGAACAATTTCTGTCAGCAGTTCCACAGCCCACGAACTGTGGCACAGTGACACTCAGTCTCACGACACACTGTCACTCACAGACACAGTCACGCCCAGTCAATAATAACATGTTAGTAAATAAACACGAATTGTGTTTACTACCAAACCCTTTATGTAGTGATAATTCTAACAACTGAACATTCGGCTACATACTGATCCCAATATTGGGGCCCTGAAACACACGGTGTCACCACACGCACACCACTGCACAAACTCATAAAAAATAGTAGGGGAGCAGGTGGGAAAGCGTGATCGTCAAATCAACAGTCAAAACAACGCTCGCTTAGACTTCAGCATCATGCACTGATCACTGCTTCAGTTCACACCTTAAAAGCGCAAATGCACAAACTATCGTGGCCCAAGGACACACTTTCCCACCTGCTCCCCTACTATTTTTTATGAGTTTGTGCAGTGGTGTGCGTGTGGTGACATCGTGTGTTTCAGATGAGCATTCGAACACCATTTATATGTAAGTTACTAAGTATAAGGCGATAGGGGTACTATTTGTGTACTCCCTATCGCCTTATACTTCTATATAAAGACTGGTACTCGTAGTAAGTACAATTTGTGTTTATTCACCATCATTTTACTATTGAAATGGCCCAAGTTCATGTGGCTAATCAGGCTGGTCATTTTCATGATGGAGCCCACTGTGTCAGGCACTGATACTACCACTGGCTTCATTTAGCTTTTAGGATTTTAGTAGAGGTGACTGCTTGAAGTGTTTAAGGAGCTAAGCCAGAATAGGGCATCTACTAGGAGTAATCACCCAGAAAATGTTGAAATTATATAATGTGCGAGGCGGTCAATCATTCGTCTGAGTCTTATCATTTACCTACTTTTGCCATGTACCGCTTTCTAATGATCCGTTGAAGTTCACCTGTTTTTGTTATTCCATATTGCAATTCTCTTCCTACCTCTGTAGGTAATTGCACAATTGAAACTTTCTATTTCAATCTACGCTATTTATCTATCAATTGGTCAGTAGTTGTAGTTGTAATTGACTCCTTCCTTCTTCAGTACAGTCCCTTGGGCTTTAAAAAAGGCCACTTGGTAAACAAAGTAAGAGTCAAAAATACAAATAGGTGGGTTTTAATTGAACAAGCAATGGTAGCCATAGTATTACTAATTCATACAGCTATGCTATGTCATTCCTAGGCTTAATTATCTATGTACTGTTTCTATTCATGAAAAGATTGTTAGTCCAACTGAGCTACATAATTCCCATCTCCCTAAACCCACTAATGCATCTCATCGGTCTACCATCCTTTATTCCACAACAGGAATAGGTCCTGTTTGGCATTTTGTATTGTATATCTTGTGATGTGTGAAGATTCTTTCCCTGGTTATCAAGCTGCTTGTCCCACAAAAATCATGTAAAATTTCTCATATTTCATTCATTGATTTAATGCTAACATAGAGCTCTTGCCCATGGTAGGTGTTTGTTTCATTTATTGTCATTGTCAGTGCTTATATGTTAATTAAGGTCACTCATTACTGTTGTCAGGTCTGTTTTTGGTACCATGTCAACCACTTCCTATAGTTGCTTTTGAAATTCGTTAATGACTTTATAAACGGCCAGGTGTCTTTCTCTATAGCACGGACACTACTGATATTTATCAACTTTGTGAGAAGTGTGTTAAGAGTGTGCATTGATGAAATTCTGATTCTACGCTGCTTTTTTGCATTATCAACATGCGACCCACACTATATCCGTGGTCATCTATATTTGGTGGCTGTGAGTGAAATCATGGAAAGCCTATTTAATTTGCTTATCCCGTCAAGATTGTATATATTTCAATTAATTAAAAATTAATTAATTAATTAAATTGGTCTGCGCTTATATTGAATTTTTTTCTGATTTTTGCAATAGTTGTCTAAAACTAGTAAACATGGATGTGGCTAAATGCTTACATAAATGTTTTGTTTATTGCAAGTGAATTACAATAATTGGTCTTACATTGTAAGTTGTGCATACATATGTGTACACTAACCTACTGCATACATGCACAGACATACATCATTATAAACTAAACTAATAAGTCTGCAGTGTAGTGCCATAGTGAATATACTAGTGAGACAGTACAAGTAGTACATAAATTGCCTTCAACAATTACTTGTAATCTCATCTGCTATACAACCATTTTGGCAAGTCTCGATTATGAGTTGGGTATATTTCCCTCAAATCTTCTAGTAAACTAACTAGCTCTCAATGATGAAAATTTAGCACAAAGATAAAACATTGAAAAGATCACATAAAACCTGATCGAATGCATTCAATTTGATTCTATAATTTCTAATTAATGAGTATACCATGTCAATCGAAAACATTGTAACAGGCTAGCTGCTATATGAAGATATTTACATTTCGTACCATGTTTCGAGTGCAGACACATTTATAAGTCATAGAAAAGAAAAAATCAGAGAAAGAGATAGACATAGAGACAGACAGATGCGACACTTAGTTCGGTAATAATCAGTGAACCATCTACGTCAGTCTTCATAAAAGGAATGAGTAAAACGATAAATTCTGAGGTAAAAGCACACAACTGTGATAAATCTTATACGTAGTATATATATGCAAATTTACTTGTATATAAAAACCTTGGGTCTATCTCGGCAGTATGCCTTCCGACTGCCTTCATACGGGCTAGTCTGTGAGCGACCCGGCAGTGCACAATGATTTGTGGTAGGACTATATTCTTGAGCATATTACAGAGAATGAACAGATGCATGTGCAGATACCGCACCCATAGGAGCGGGCACTGACTCGTGTAATGAATGGATTACGTATAAACCTGTTATCATACTGCGCATACTTCTCATTCCATGTGCGACAAATATGCTTTCTGAATTCAAATATAGTTGCCTGTCATTACGTGGGGTTCTATGACCAGCAACTGTTTACAGCGACAGAATTTGTCCTTGTCTTCTAAAAGCAGTGTTTTGTTATGAACAGCTTGATATTTTCCTCTCAAGAGTTCGATGCTGGTGTTGACAATCAAATATATAAATTAACATATTCAAAAACAATAGTTCATGCAATTTACGCATGGGTATGGCACTCACACACGCACGCACGCACACACATAAAAACACACACAAACACACGCAAATATATATATAACAGTGGTAAACTCACAAAGAACTACATATCGTAGAGTGGTAAATATGCTTGGTGAATCTCTCCTAAAACAATAATACATTTATATACACATGGGAGAAACTGAAACATGAATGTGAACACGCATGAGCATTACAGAAAATTCAGTAAAATCTCTTCTTCCGTAACGTAAAATCGTCAATACACAATAAAAACACTGATTTCATACAGTTTTATCTAGCCATGTGCCCATTTCGTTATCAATGTAAAATTATGAATGATTTTACATTACCTATCGTAATTGAACAATGTGGATGATGGCTGTGTCAGTAGTGTGAACTTTTCTTATTTGTGATAAAACCTAGTTCGTGTCTGTATGCAATTACGGGATACTTGCATCCGGCTAACAGAAACTGGTTAAAAACAACCTGATAAGGTCAGGGAATCTAAAATTTGAGATTATTCGAGATTATCTGAAAGATTAAGATAATATCTCTTCCTGATAATATCAGTGGTGACCACCATTGAATGTTAAGATCATCGATGTGGAAGGCTATGTCATACAGAAGAGCCTTCTGCATCTGATGGCTTCTTCACGTTATTTTCATCTGTGACAGCATCCGCGGAATCGTCCTTCGTTTTCGACGATTCGTTTTCGTTCGCCTCGCTTTTCGCCGCGGGGGTGGTTTCTTCCGCGGCGTCGGCCTGTTGCTTCTGCTTTCCTCCCGGCGGCTCCGGCAGTTCGTCCTCCATCACCAACGTCAGGTTGTCGAATCCCTTCTCGACTTCGGTCTTGTTCTCCTTCTCGTCCTCCTTCGTGTTGTAATTGATGAGGCGGCGCCGCCAGAGCAGGTACAGCGCCACGGCGACGATGATCAGGACCAGCAGGATGATGACGATGGCGATGGCGGCTTTGCCGCCGCCGCTCAGCCCCTCGGCGGCCGGCGGCAGCGGCGGACACGGCGCAATGACGCTGTCGTTGAGCGCGCGGACGTACTTGCCGCGTAGCTCCGGCGGCGACGCGCAGCGCAGGCACGCGATCGCGCTCGGACGCACGCGGCAGTCGCCGGCTGTCGGCGCGCGGCGCACCCACGCGTGCAGCGGCCGCAGCTCGCACGAGCACCGCCACGGATTGCCGTCGAGCGCGATGGTGGCGCCCCCTCGCAGCGCGTCGGCGACGACCTCCTCGTCGATGCTCTCGAGGCGGTTCGCGCGCAGGTCGAGCGCGGCGTTGTCGTGGCGACGCGAGAATCGCTCGCGCAGCAGCGCCGCGGGGAACTCCCGCAGGAGGTTGCCGTCGAGCGTGAGTTGGCGGAGGCGGGGTAACCGCGGCAACGCGTCCGGCGGGAAGGCGGTGAATCCGCACGCGGTGAGGTTGAGCGCGCGCAGCTCGTTGAGGCCGGCGATCGACGCGGGAAGCTGAGCGAGCGAGAGGGGATTCCCGCTGAGGTCGAGATACTCGAGAGAGGGCGCCAGCGGAACGAGCATTGCCGCGGCGACCGACGCGAGCTCGTTGGACGCGAGCGAGAGACGCTTGGCGACGAGTCCCTTGAACGGAGACTGCTGCTGCTGCTGCTGCTGATGCGTCCCGTCGAAGACGTAGCTCATCTTGTTGCGCGAGAGGCCGAGGTACTCGAGGTAGAGCCCGCCGAACGCCCCCTCCTCTACGACCCCGATTTGATTCCCGTCGAGGTTCAGCGTCTTCAGCTGGAGGAAGCCGGAGAGGAGGCGCGTCTGCACTCGTTGGATGAGGTTGTCGGCGAGGTTGAGGTGGAGGAGGCGGCCGATGAAGGAGAAGCTGTCGTCGTCGACGCTGCGGATCGCGCAGCCGGCGGCGGAGAGATGCTGCAGCGTCGGCGTGTCGATGAACACGTTCTTGTCGAACGTCCTGCGGGGAAACATAGCAAAGAGAAATCTAAAATTAACAACAAAATACTTGAAAAAAGAGTGTGTGACGTTTGACGTTCTCGTTGAACGTCCCGCGGGGGAAGAGAATCGAAAATTTACACACGCGGAAAAAAAACTACTAAAAAATTGCTGTAACGAATGTGTGATGCGGAAAATCGAAAAGAGAATCGAAAATTTACACGCAAAAAAAGTTTGTGACGAGTGATTGAGAGACTGTTGGTGTTATCAAGAGTAGATAATATAACAGTTATATTATCTACTCTTGGTGTTATGGGGATACACAGGGGACGGCTGCTTATAGCTGTAACGAATGTGGGATGTGGGAAATCGCAAAGAGAATCGAAAATTTACACGCAAAAAAAAACATGACAAGACGATGAAAAGATTTGTGACGAGTGATTCGGAGACTCTTGTTGTTGTGAAGATACACGTGTAACGGTGTGTTCTTTGCTGTATAACGAATGTGTAATACATTTTCGCGCGAACAGTTTCTAATTACTATTAGTTGAAAAACGAACTAAACGTGCGTCCTCGGTGTTCTTATACTGATTTTACGAGCCGGCAACCAGAGACTCACTCACTGTACGCTTCATACATACATAGCAGCTCCTATAAGCTAGAATGATCAGCCGAAAATACACCGCCGCCAGCATACACACTCAGAGGAGCAGCAGCCGCGCATAAATAGCCTCCACTAAGGAGAATTTCCTTGTTAATGCAGAAGGAAGGGGGCAAGCCGCTATCGCCGAGGTGCTCGCGAAGTCGTTTGTGTTATTCCACATGTTGTAATTTTCGGCTTTGTGTGTGTGTGTGTGTGTGTGTGCGAGTGCGGCGTGCGGTTTATCGTCTGAGTGCTGCAGCTGACATAACCAGATATCACATGTAAATGATGTAAGTGTAGCCAGTTATACCTCCCGAGTCCCTCCCCCTCTCTTCCTTCATGTGTTCACGTGTAGAGGGAACGTGAACTCTCTATGACTAAGGGCGATCAGTACATACATGTTACCAAGAGCATATAAAGAAGGACCTTCTTTCTATACTGAAGAAAGACCTTCTTTATATGCTCTTGATGTTACTGAACGGGTTACCTACATGTAAGTGTAGCCAGATATACCATCCCCCCTTCCTTCATGTGTTCACGTGTAGAGGGAACGTGAACTCTCTATGACTAAGGGTGATCAGTACATGTTACTGAACGGGTTACCGCGTACATCAGGAGTAGATAATAGGGAATTATAGAGGGATATATAGGGAATAGGGGATAATAGGGAATTTCCCTATTATCTACTCCTGCCGTACATGTAAGTGTAGCCAGTTATGCCCTCCTCCCCCTCTCTTCCTTCATGTGTTCACGTGTAGAGGGAACGTGAAACATCACCAAGGGTTCAGTACATGTTACTGAACCGGTTACCGTACATGTAAGTGTAGCCAGTTATACCCTACTCCCTCTTCTTTCATGTGTACACGTGTAGCTTCATGAGCACACGTGTAGAAAGAAACATGAAACATGCCGTCAAGTGCTCGGTACGTGTAACTGAACGGGTTACCGAGTGTGTCTGGGCACAGGCACTTGGAGCGTTTCAATAAAATATAATGCTAAATAAATACGAAATCTATTTACTACCAAATCTATTTATCTATTCTCTACTTTCTTTCACCTATTATTGCCGACAATTTCCTGTAAATGCCGTCCAAATGCTCATCTGCAACACACGCTGGCTGCCGCACGCTAGCTGCTGCACACTGACACATAAATATATATTTATAAAAAAATATTATAGGAAGCTCAAGAAACTTACCCTAATGGATTGTCATGCACGCACGTCGGTTGGTCAGTTTTAAACCCCCAGGAAAAAATATTGGCGAAAACGGAGGTGTAAGAAACTCACCCAAATGGATTGTCGTCCAGGAATTTTGTGCACAGGTTGGTCCGTTTTAAACCCCCAAGATAAATTTTCGGAGCGGAGCTGGGACAAACTCACCCTAATGGATTGTTGTGCAAGAATTTCGCACACACCCCCAGAGAAAAATGGTCGAAAACGGAGGCGCGACAAACTCACCCTAATGGATTGTCGTCCAAGATTAGTGCACACGGGTTGGTCAGTTTTAGACACCCCCAACAAAAGGGCAAAAAGGGGGTTTGAAAAGTTGGCAAAACGTAGGCTTGACAAACTCACCCTAATGGATTGTCATCCAAGAGTTTCACGCACAGGTTGGTTTGTTTTAAACCCACAAAGAAAAATTGGCGAAAACAGACGCTCGACAAACTCCCCGTTATGGATTGTCGTCTAAGGATTCTGCGCACAGTTTGATCAGTTTTACCCCCACCTCCACCACCAACCCCTCACGACCCACCCCCACCCACCCAGAGAAAGTTGGTGAACACGGAGGCGCGACAAACTCACCCTAATGGATTGTCGTCCAAGATCAGCACGCGCAGGTTGGTGAGGTTCGCGAACAGCCTCGGCGCCCACGAGTCGATGACGTTGCTCGACATGTCGAGGTACTGCAGCTTGTTGAACGCGCCGAACGTGCCGGACGCGATCTCCTTCACGGCGTTCCCCCGCAGCACGAGCCGCCGCAGGAACGGCATCCCCGCTAGCCGGTCGTCGGTGATCAGCGTGATCGCGTTGTCGGTGAGGTTGAGCGTGCCGCAGCGGTACAGACCCTGGAAGCCGTCGACGTCGATGCCGCGGATGTTGCTGTTGGTGATGTGGACCTCGTCGAGGGCCTGCAGGCCGGAGAAGGTGCCGCGCGGGATGCCGTGGATGTTGTTGGGGCGGTCGGCGGGGCCCGAGACAACGAGGATTCGCGTCTGCGGATCTGAAACGCAGAGAAGAAGTGGAGTGTTGCGGGTGTTTGATGAGATTGTGGAAATTATTTTGTTGCGATGGCTTCGTTTTTAGTGGTTTTTTTGTCACGGGTCTATCTGATTTTGTCTAAGATGTCGAATATCTGAGAATATGAGATAATTAAGAGACAATGAGGATTCGCGTCTGCGGATCTGAAACGCGGGGGGGAAAGCTGCGCTTTGCGAGTGTTTTGTTTCGATTGTGGAAATGATTTTGTTGCGATGGCTTCGTTTTTAGCTTTTTTTCTCTTTTTTTCTACAAAGAAGAAGACAATGACAAACGGCACTGGATATTCGACATCTTAACCGATGTCGATAAGGTGTCGAATATCTCGTGTCGTTTGGCATTGTTATATACTTCGTAGTAGCAAGTTCATGCTTGCGTGATTTGATCGTAATCTTCTAACTGGTTAGATTTGTGCAGCGTAAATTCATAGCGATCTCGAGGAATCGGTCGAGTGGCAAAAACTTGTGCGTTGATTAGCGTTGTAGGATGGAATGCACGTGACTCATTCCAATTTATGAAATTATTTCGCAATAAAAAACGCCCGTAGTTCGAATAACGCCTCGTGCTAAAAGATGGCTGTATTCATGTTGAACAAATGCTTCTGCGGCCATTGACGATATTTACTCATTAATTTTTCAGTGAACGCTTTTGCGAGGGGTTAACAAATTTATACCAAGATCAGGTGGTATTCTGTCCATTCCTCCCTTGGTACACATAGCCCGTAGCCTCCCATCTGGAGTGAGGCCACAGTCACATTGTGTCGGACATTTCCAACAGGCTGCTTCCCTCGCAGCCAGGAGAAGTATCAAGATCAGAGTAGAGTGGAACTTGATGAGCATTGTGAGATTCTGAAATGTAAAGAAAATGGTTCAGTAAACGTTCACGCGTATCTGTTTATTATATGTCACCGATTTATGCGATCTCAATGATCGTTTATGGGCTTTTAATTATTTTCTTGATTCTAGTAAGATGTGAGAAACAGTTGCCTTCTTATTGCATTGGTACAGGTCATATCTGGTAATTAACACACTGCACACATGTTTGACAAAATGTCTAGCTTCTTAAATTTCAGTTTGCGCATTTCTGTATCCTCTTTTCTGATGAACCTGTTTTTTCAGTAATAAGATATATTTATGTTTCGAAGATTTTCCAGCCACTTACTCATGGATGTGCAGCAGTTTGTACCAGCTATACTACCTACTGTACTTATCAATAGTAACCGGGTAGACAGCTATATATCATGCACACCTGCTGCATGCTATATATATATATATTATGTATGTATATATTCATGGGCTTATATGTGCTATTGAAGCATAATTACTGATGGTGGTTGGCGGTGGTGCGTGTGTAGCATCTGTGGATGCGTTCATGGTACCAAATTGCGCACCTTGTGTATGAATGACAGACATTTGTCTGACGGCTTTCCCGTAAATTTCTGGGTCTCATGCACGTAATCACATGCTCTCTACGTTTTCACATTGCTCTACATATACTCATGGCCAAATAAGTGTAACTATAAAAGGCTCAATGTTCCCGCTTAGTAGTGCATGCGAAAGTACAATTTTCAATACGCAAATGTTTTAGTAGTAAAAGATGCTCATTTTGGTGGCATTTGACTGAGAATAATAATTAACTCGATCTTTTCAATTCTTGTTTATTCTTGTTTATTCTCGGAGCATCGATAATGTTTCTCGGCTCTCAAAGGTGGTGCCTTGTAAATGTATGAACTATTTAAATTAAAGGAATGGTAGCAGATTTCGCTACTGCTCATAATTTTATGACAAAGTGAAACCTGAGGAAAATCAGGCCAGTACAATTTTCAAGCAATATAAACATGAATTTCTATCCATGGTTTATGACGTATAATAACGTCGGCATACATGCCCATGCATGTTCCGAACAGTAAAGTTTCTCCCGTTTTTACAGTGTAAATTGGCTATTATTGCACGGTGACACCCTAGTTGCAGCAATCAATGACCTTTATAAATTACAAAGGTCGTTGCTTGCGGGAACTAGGGCGCCACCTTGCAGGCGCAATGCAGCGAGGGTTTTGACCTCTCCTCTACTGTAATATGCATGCATGCACTATTGATAGACTCCTGCTATTATCCTCACTGGAGAATAGCTTAATCTAATGCTGAATAAATGGGAAATCGAAACTAATGGTGCGAACCCTACGTGCTGCATACAATCCACCATGTGCGACCTCTGCAATCTATAACAGCCCATTAATCCAGCGTCTTGGAATGTGAAAGGTGCCAAAACCCGGCCATTGATTTAGAATACGTTCGAGTTTCTGTCACACCCCGTGAGAGCTAATTAATTGTGTATCATTGTGTGGCAACACGTGCAACATACGTTTGTGCATTTTCGTTGTACTCTTTACAAGATGTTTCCTGACTTTACTGCAGCTAGCAGAGTCTGAAAGGGTGATAATACATCCTGTAGTGTAAAATGCTGTGGGATAGAGTGCGTATTTATACTTTGCTGACAATCGCTGTGTTCGTGGTCAGGGAAGCATAACGAATTGCGAGGTGGATTTCCTGTGTGCAAGCCGGACTACAATAGTCATTAAAGTTGAGCAAATACGGGGCCATCCGCAGCATTTATTGGGAACACGTTTAAGCGCCGATGGGCATACTGATTGCATTCGCACATTAAGTGTAGATTTGTAAATTTACTAGATATGTGTCAGCACGTTGCCACGCCTACACATATTAAATCAGTGATGAAGCCGGCCCGTGATGTATCCGTTTGGAAAGTTGCTAGGGAGGAGACAGGAAGAGAGAGCGAGAGAGAGAGAGAGAAGCTGGAGAGGGTGGAGGGAGGGAGAGAGAGCGAGAGAGAGAGAAGCTGGAGAGGGTGGAGGGAGGGAGAGAGAGCGAGAGAGAGAGAGAGAGAGAGATAGAGAGAGAGAGAGAGAGAGAGAGAGAGCGAGAGAGAGCGAGAGAGAGCGAGAGAGAGAGAGAGAGAGAGAGAGAGAGAGAGAGAGAGAAGCTGGAGAGGGTGAATGGAGGGAGGGAGAGAGAGAGTTGGAGAAAGGGGGGGAGTGGTTGAGAGAGAAAATGCGGGAAACTAATGAGGGAGAGAAAAATGAGAGACAGAAAGGGAAAGGTGCTATTAAAGAGATGAGGGAAAAGAGGGAGAAGGCGGAGGAGAGAGAGAGGGTGACTAAGAAAGGGAGGGAGAGTGAGAGAGAAAATTGGGGGAAAGTTCGAGATGGAGACTGGAAAGGGGTGAGTGTGCGTGCGCGCGTGCGTGCGTGCGTGTGTGAGAGAGAGAAAGCGAGTGAAAACTACATGAGAGATGGTGACAGATTTTGGAACAATACGTACGTGGAATGGTAAATGTAGATTTTAATATTGCATCTCTGGGGGGTGGGGGGTGGCTATAGGACTGATTTGCTACACCAAGGATTTGTTACACTGTGCTGCATACTAGCAATGATGTTCTCTATAACGCGACGTTATTTTCATCTCGGGTAGTTTCGCGTAGAACGCGTGATACAGGTATATTTACAGCCCGTCGAGCCGGTTAACAACGCCGTTGTCTGTATACGTTCAAGCATGTCTATACCTTCTTACTACGCTGCCTGGAGGGCATTTAGAGAGCAAACCTGTCCGTGCAGGTACACGTTTAGAGCTTATGCACAGCGCGCGTCTGCAATTGCCTTTAGTTGAGCGGTCGGGCATCGTCTTTTGAGGTACATAACGTTTGATGATATTATATAGTTGTAACTTGTATATTTTATGACGTGGTGTGATTGTTGTGTGTCACCTCGCCGCTATATGACGGGTCGTGTCGAAGTCGTGAGCTTTTTAAACCATAAAGTTCTTGACGACAAACATACATGATCTCCAGACCATGGCTACCCATAGCTATATACCGGTGTAGTCCCTTCGCTCCCGTTACAGGGAGCCGGAGCAAAGGGGCTACGCCGGTAGACCTAGGCTGCCAGCGTGGGATGGTGTTAGTGACTTAGCCAGGAAGGTTTCGTATATATATATATATCGTAGTTGTAATGTTACTTGCAGTGCGCATTATTGAGTTTAATGGAGTCGTTGCTACGATTAGTAAGGGCACGTGGTTGTGTTACAAGACATATCACTTACCTTTCCTGTGAATGCCGCCACCAGGCCGGCGTCGTATCCACGAGTAAACCACGGAGTGTGATGCCAGTATAAGTGTGCCAGAGATGTCTCTGCTTCCTCTGTCGCGAGTTACTACAGTCAGCAGAATGTCGCGTGTGTTACGTGTGTCGAATCAGTGTTGTCATCTGTCGCTTCGCTGCGTCTCCATGCGGGCGTAGTCGCGTGCATGAGTGCGTGGGAACGACCCTCACAGGTGCGTACCTCATACACAGGTGTGTATCACAGGCGTGGTGTAGGCAGGTATTAGTAGTAGTGGTGGGTGCAGTCTGTGCCTTCGCTGCTCCGTCGCACGGGGGCAGCACTGCCGCGTAGCAGCCGTGACGCGCCGCACACCTGCATTGACGGGGGCGGGTGGGCAGCACAGGTCATGCAATATCCATGAGCGACCTAGAATATCGAGTTCCACATCAGCGGGTGCGTAACCCACACACGCGCGCACATACGTAGCAACACACGCGCGCATAGGTGGTTATTTAAAATAGACAGACAGACAGACAGACACGCTCGATGCTCTGCGCTGTACATATAAGGTCGTGGCCAGACAATGTGGCTGTTGAGCAATGCATGCCATGTGACGTCATCTCCCCAAATATACGTGACTCACAGTGATGTGTGAGTCTACCTTGTGTGATGAATCTCCGAAAGGTGTTCATATTGAAAATGGGTGATACTTCATATTAGGAGTGTTCCCAACTTTAATGTCGTTAATGGTTAGGGTTATGTTATAGGTTAGGTTAGGGTTAGGGTTAGGATTATCAATCATTAATCATTAATCATCAATGATATCAAAGTTGGGAACACTCCTAATGGAGCGTTAGCCTTGAAAATCGTCTAGTTGCTGGTAAATGCAGTGAGACGGCAATGCATACGTACGTGCAAAGTCTGCTTACATCTGCCGCTCAATCATCTGCTCTTATCAAGAGTTAACTGTCTCGTGCCGTACGCCTGGGCCATCAGACAAATTATGTTATAGGATCACAAGGGGATTTGTGTTTTGTCACGTCTTTTAATCACCATGTGAACGAGATACTCCCAGTATCCATTAATTATTGAAGACACGTGGGCAAAGCTTTTAAATTAATAATTAGCTGGATAGATGTTATAAATCTAGAACGTCTACAACATCTATCAAGCAGTAGTTGTCTAGCATAAATAGTGGGCATGCCCTTCTAATAATGCAGAAATGAGATCACCTGTAAAAGTAAATAATAGCAAAGCTATTCAAAACCGGGATTCACTTTTATTTTGCTAGTATTATACGCTAATGAATGTGATAATGATGTGTTATTGATTCTAGTCTGTCATTGACACTGAGACAAACAAAATGAAACAAAGTTGATAATGGTACGATTGGGCTGTCTATTATTTGTCTTCCATATATCTATTATTTATCTCTCATATTGTGGGGGCCACCTCCAAAATAGGTAAAAGTTCTATTTGCTTTGATATTACTAACAGGAAACTAGTAAACCAGTATAGAATGTGGGGAACACTTTTGGTAACCGTGGAAACGTGTACACGATCACGCATTGCATCTATGTAAATAAAAGAAAGCAAACAACCTTTGTACTGTAAACCTTCGTGTCAATGTGCAGATAATAAATACTGGATTTGAGGGCAATCTAGTTGAAATCGGCCGGGAATACGGGCGTGTCACTATAGCGTGAGTAGCACAGCCGTGGATTGGAATATTGTTTGTTCTAGTTTGTATTTTACTAATTACGTTATTTATGTCTGTATTGGTAGAATATAATTATCATAACCTTGGCAGTGATCAGACCTTTAAATTGGTCTCAAGTTGATATTATTATAAGATAGTTGTTATTAGTAAAAGTATGTTTAGTATACTGCTTTAGTGCAATTATATCATTTATTAATTCTGCAGTAAAATCATTTTGAGGTGCTTTACATTGTATCATTTCGTTACTTTCTTTTTATCTAGTGGGATGTTACATATATAAACTCGTGATATATTGTTTAACTTTAATTAAGGGATAGAAGTGATTGTAGAAGAAACGGCACAATGCTGATGTTAGGAAAACCTATGATAAACTTTCGGATGTTTTGATCACGTAGGGTTAAATATTCATCAATATTGTTGCTTGTCATGCAATTACCAAATGTCCTGTGTTTATCGTCGCTGTGAATTATATAATAATATTAGAATTACGTAGCAAAAGTCAGTTGGTGAAGCTGCGATCATTGTATTTGGTTCTTACTATAGTGTTATATATCACTAGGTATATATATATTCACACAGGTACTATAGTGTTATATATCACTAGGTATATATATTCACACAGGTACTATAGTGTTATATATCACTAGGTATATATATTGTTATATATCACTAGGTATATATATATTCACACAGGTACTATAGTGTTATATATCACTAGGTATATATATATTCACACAGGTACTATAGTGTTATAT